AACATGGAAGGATTCTTTCAAAATCTTATGAGTCTGTGTTGCTGTAAAAAATGTTTTGGAGCCTAAACACAAAACCTTGGAAATGTTGTTGTAGTGAAAAACCCTTGGCTCTAATATAAGAGTAATTTCTGGACCTGGTTATTATTATTATTATTATTATTATTATTATTATTATTATTGAGTTTATTTGTAGGTTTGATTGCCTTCCCTTTGTGGTCATTATTTGGGACTGTAGTTGTTTTCACTCTAGAGTCAGCCATGTTTACTAAACCATTGCATTTATCAGAGATGCTAAAGGGCTCAGGAGATGACATTTCCATGCTGCAAACCATTATCTCTTGTTTCAAACAGACTCATCGCCCTCACAGCCCACAGCTTCACCTCAGCGTTCCTCCTGGATTCTCATTGATCTGTTTTGATGGATCAAGCAGCTGCTGCTCCTGCTTCTCTTGTGTGAAAACAGCTCTGCTTGTTTGCCAGATGTCACTCATTGATCAGTCCTAAATGTCAGTTCTTGTGGGACCAGAATCTACCAGAATATTGTATTTGTTTAAGATTATACTTACTTGTAAAAATAATTCAGTTGCATGAAATGTCCAACTTTTAGGATTTTAGATGATTTGCTGCAGACTTAAGAGAAAAAGATCATCTAAACTTAGAAGACAAAAACTCTTACTCAAGTAAAAGAAAAAGTGACGATGTGATAACTGCAATAAAGGGGAGTGTGGCTTTCAATGGAAGAAAAAAAATGATGTGGTCAGATCAATTACTTCCTGTTGCTATAGTAACTCAGGTAAATTCTCCTTAGACAAGTTAGACTGAAACTCAGTCACTGAGTCAACATCAGGGTTCGGGCTCAGTGGTACTATAACAAGTCAAAGATTACTCCATCAGTTTTTAAAAGTATGGTTTACTCATTTACTTTATACATTTGCAGTGTTCATCTTTATGTGTCATAAAAAAAGCTTTGATGCTCTTGTTCTGAGACGCAGAATTTTGCTGGTGCAGAGGTAGGCTGATAACAGCAGGATGGCTCATTATTCTTAATGATATGCACACACCTCACTTCTGATTGGCTAACAGGAAGCGTTTAGCCATGCTGCAAAGTCACTGTCACCAAGACAAATAAATAAAGCCTTCCTGTGGGTGGGTTTGAGCCAAGATGGGCGGGGCCATAAATGCAAATTCACAGTGTGACATAAATATGTGAGGATTTTCAAATCCTAGCATTTCACCGTCTATTTTCTATCACAAGCTAGCACAGGTGTAGAAGAATGTTCATGTGGAGCCTGTATGAAAAACTCAGAGTGACTGATTAAAATCAGAATTAATGATTTAAAAATGTTTTTTCAGTCAACCACACCTTTAATAATATCTCTCTCTTGTTGCCTCATCTCTGTTTCTTTATTGTGAAAACCAGATAGAAATATGATGAAAATGTTTTACTGATATGTTTCAGTTAGGAAGGCATTTGCTTGTTTAACAAATGATCATTTTTTTTAAAACAATGATACCATTTTAGTTGATATAAATATTCTAGACGTTCTCCACATTGCTCTTTGTTTTGTTCCGTCATCTGTCTATTCAGCTTGCTGGAATTTGGCTCTTATTCTGAGCATAAATAGAATTATTTTAAACTCTTTACGTAACCCACTCATCCAGCCCTTTATGGAACATGATTAGATGAAGCAGCCCATTATAATATTTGCTAAAATATATACAGAGCAAATTCACTTTAACACCATAAACTCAATAATGAAGGAAATACTGTTGACACATCATTTTATCAAATGAAAATAACAGAAAAAAAATCTTACAAATAAGACAAACTAAGTAGGCAGATTGTGTGAGAGGCTGACTCTTTTTCCTCCTTTTACTGAAATATAGTCAACAACAGAAACTTCTACTGTTTGTGTTTTTTCACCCAAGTCCAATATTTGCAGTATCTCTGATTAGTTTTCCACCCGATCCTAAGGGAAACATCATATAAATCTGCTGTTTTCACCACTTTCTGTTGCTCCTCTCAGCAGAGAATAAATATTTCTGACACATTCCAGAGGGATCGCAGCTAAACAAACCAAAAAATGTACTTTCAATCATTCATGACTGAAAGAAATGAGTGGGTCTGACTAAATGTGTGGTGAGTAAAGCATGTGTTAGTTGTTTTTAATGCAGTTTAGTAATATTGACATTGTATGTGTCCAAATATGTCTGGTATTGATTTAAACACAAAGTTGTCCAGATAATGGAGAATTTAATTGCTCTTATTGCGGTACTTACAAAGTTTACTCTTGTTCATGTTGAGCTGTTGTTAGGGTTAAGGAGTAAGAAGAAATAAAGTTGTCCAACTTCTCCAGCAGACAGAACTAAGAAGAACCTTGTGAGACCTCCTCCTGCTTCCTAGTGAAGCCTTTTAATCGTCTGTAGACTCTGGCTTGATGGTGCTCTGCCCTTTGATGATATCAGATGAGCAGATATGTCTCATCTTCGTACATAAAATGTAGATGTTGTTTACTCCGTTGTGTGACCTGATTTAGAACCGTCACTTCAAACATGTTCCAGTTCTGAACGTACCTCTACAGAGTCAGCTTGGATCAGATTTGACCTGACGTTATAAAAAACACAACCTGCAGGTTTTCTCTGTAGTGGATGAGACTGGAGCTAATTTTTTTCCCGGTTTCTTCCCAGTGAGCCGTGTTTATTTAGCATCTCATTAATGTTACATATTTCCTAGTTGGCAGTTGGATGGTAATCTGTTTGACCTGAGAATCATTGAGCTTACATAATAACATAAATCTCAATAGCTGCTTTCAGACATCTGCTGCTCTTTCCATTGTTTTCATCCTTTCTACTCTACGAGAGTAATTAATGAGGTCTTGGCTTCAGATAAATATTTGTTCTTGCATCCTGCTGCAGTATTTGGGCTGTAACACGATGAAGCCACTGACTTGTTTGTAGTGGCTCGGCTCTTTAAAGATCATTGGAATCTGACTGACTTCCTGTGGTTCTGATGCATATTGACACAGTTACACAGCTGGTGGGCTCATGGAAGAAACTGATTCAGGATCAGACTCATAATGAAAACCACGAGACAGTTAATTATTTCAGTAGCTATCAAAGCATATGTCATGTTATTTATTGCCCGTCTTACAACGCTGAACAGAAACGACGTTTGCTCTGCAGCTTAACTGTCTGTTTGATGTTGATGCTGTTAAAGGTCACAGAATAAATTCATGATGTAATTAAAAACATCACAGCATGCATGCTAACATATCACTCCTCCTATTTAATACATTAGTCGGTGCAGCCTTATTCAGATAGAACTATGTTTGTGTGTCAGCCATGAGTGCTGCATCAACTTCACCTGATCTAAAATCATTTGTTTAACTGACAAGAGAAGAATCAGTTCATCTGATTGTGGAGTTACATCACAGCAGATATTAAATACACCCAGAGGGAACATAAATCACTTCTGAATGTATACATTTGTTTCATCTCATTAGTACTCGTGTGGCAAGCTGACTTTAATTAATTCAAGTTTTGGTCCTCCACCATCTCCTTCACCCATGTTGTCCCACAAGGTTCTGGCTGGGGCCTCTACAGTTCTTCCTCTACCTGCTTCTCCTTCAGCACTTCCTGAACTATTTTAAAGGAATCTCCTACATCTATGCAGATGACATCCAACTCTACATGTCAAAATGTGTACACTGCAGCAGTGACAAACCTGCTTAGACACTAATGAAACCTGGTTGGCTAGGAACTTTCTACAGCTGAATGAAGATAAGACTGAGATCCTCATCGGTGCCCCAGACAAGCTGGTTCCTAAAAGTCAGATAATCTCTTGGTCAGCTTGCTTCTCACACCAAACCTTCTGTCAGGAATCCTGGTGTGACCTTTGACCCAGCTCTCACCCTGGATTCTCATGTCAGTTCTCTTGTACGCTCTTCCTTCTTTCATCTCAGGAACATTGCTAAATTAACTCCCATTCTGTCCCGCGCTGAACTTATTGTTATCCACACCTTCATCTCCTCACACTTAGAGCACTGCAACTCTTTTCACTGAGCAAGACCTCCCTAAACCCTTTATAGGTGGTTCAGAATGCCTGTGCTTGGCTTCTGACCAACACATAAAAGTATACCCACAATCGCCCTGCTTCTCCTCCAGCTTCACTGTCTGCCAGTCAACTTCAGGGTTAATTTCAAAATCCTAGTTCTGTTTTTTATGGCCTTACACGGAAAAGCACAATCTCACATTGGTGATCTTCTCAGCCCCTAAACCCCCAGCAGGTCCCTGAGGTCCAGTGATCAAAACTTACTGACTCCTTGTTCTGCTTTTTTTAGCAATTCTGCCTTTCCCAAGATCCACTGATTTCACTCTTCCTTATTCATTTTTTCTTTCCCTTTCTTAACATTTTTTATTTCACAATTTTGATTATTTTTCTCACTTTTTAAAAATCTATTTTTCTTCTTCTTGTGAAACACCTTGTGATCTTTATCTTGATAAGTGCTATTTAAAAAATGTTTTTGTTCTTTTTCTTTCTTTACCTTCATAAGAAAACATACACTTTTGGCATGTTTCATTAAAACCTGTGAAACAGAGAGCAGTTTTATTATTCATGTTCCTTTTATGCTCAGTAAGGTTCTGCTGCACTCTAAATATTAAACACAGGTTGACTGACTGACACTTTCCACCCAAAAATTTATATTTATTAGGAAAACTGCACCAACAAAGGCTCTCCAGATTTATGAGAATCATATCTCTTTAAATGCCAAGAGGATATTGGGCCTAATAAAGTCATGCTTTGTGGGAGAAGCTTTCACTTGATTAAATATTTATTGTAGAAAAAAAAAGTTTCAAGTTCTAAAACATGCAGATATACAAGCCTTGCTGTCTTTATTTGGTTGAAAGAAAAATAAAGATATTTCTTAAGTCTGCCAGACATGTATAAGTTTTGTTTTCTTCCCCATGAACAACAGATGTTTTATCAAACTCTCTTCCAGCTGCCATCCTTGATGATCCTATGGAGTGCAGCAGAGGAGAACGTTTAGCCATCACGCTGGCCAAAAACAACATCAACAGAAGCAGCAACCGCTCCACCACGGGCAAACTGGAGGTGGACATCTTTGAACTGCTGAGAGACAGTGAATACGAGATGGGAGATACAAGTGAGTAATGTAAGCGAGAATGTGTGTTTGTGTGGAATCTGAGGTAAAGACAATAATCAGTCTGATGCAGTGTTCAGGTCAGCTAAACTATGACTTTTACATTCATCCTCGGAATGGAATACTTTCTGCATCAGAAATCTTTTGCATGACTTACTTAAATATTAGTTTGTAGCTGGTAAATGGTTTAGAATGAAAACACTTTGTGTTTAGCATTTGCTATTACCTTAGCATTGGATAAGTCTTGACATTTTAATTTAAAAACTAACAATCTGCCACACAGAAACATGTTAGTTGACTGAATTAACTTTCTAGGTTCCATTTGAGAAATATCTGGAATTAATCATGCTTCATACCCATCAGCACCACAAATAGTGCCTTCTCGTGCTTCATAGCGATCAGTTACACAAACATCGCCTTCTGGTTCTTAACAATTGTCACTATGGACAGCACTTGCTGAGTATGGGACTGAGTTTTGAAGGTGATCTCAACTGTATCAAATACACAAAAACTACATGCTTTTAAATTAGAGCAAAATATTGCTCTGTAAATTCAGCACCTTTTGTTATCTCACTTCTTGCACGCGTCTCTTTCTGTTATACCCTCTTTCATTCTTTGTAGATAGAGATGTAACAGTTATATTTTTTATTAAAGCTAGAAAGAGGAGCAACCAAAGGGTCGCCCAAGACACCAGGGCTGCAGGCTGCAAAATCTAATTTAGGCTCCGATAAAATACCCATGTTTTGATAGTGACTGCAAAAATAAATGTTAAAGCTGCTGGTAGTAGCTAATTAGGTTATAAACAGATTTTCCACCTCCCAAATTCTCCACTAATCCATTTTTCCAAGATATTCTGGACAACGCAAAGTCCTCTCATCTTCTTAAACAAGAGGGTCTAAAAGAGATGTAACGAGTCAAAGGTTTTCTGATCTAACGGGAAACCTGTTGCACTTAATGCTTTACCAGTGGAAGGAGTTTGAGCCTTTTCCCCCTTTTTTTTAGAAGTTCGTTTTATTCTGTTGTTTTAACACTCACACTTCTTCATTTTATCTTAATTGGTTCTTAATTTGTAATAATGTTATTTCCTCACTATTTTCACTTAATTGGTTTTATTCTTTTCATTTCAATTCTAAATTGAATGAAGCACAGTGTGTCTCTTTAGAAAATGACCAACATTAACATTTTGATGTGAAGTGGAGGGACTGATTGTCAATGGGACTCAGTCAAACAAGTACTTCGGCTGCTGTGGATTGTATTAGAGCTTTTGTATAATTTCATCAACACAAACTGTTATTTTCTCTCTGGATAAAAACAAGCCGTACCTGAATGTTGTTCTTCTGTTTCTCTGCTTTTGACTGTGCATAATTTTGTCAACGTGTGAGTTTGTTTAGTGCCAGGAATGGGATTAAGACGGATCAACATTCCCTGTTTGATGGAAAAATAAATAATAAATTAATACATTTGCTACCTGCAAAGCCTCACCTGCATATGTTCTGGTGTGTGTGTGTGTGTGTGTGTGTGTGTGTGTGTGTGTGTGTGTGTGTGTGTGTGTGTGTGTGTGTGTGTGACATTCATGTCCTACATGTCCCATGGGTGACAGGAATTACTTTTTAATCATTTTATTCACTGCCTCTCCACCTCAGAGCCCCTAAAGAAGTTCACCTTTGCCTCTTTCTCATGCATGACTGATTAAAGCTTTGCATTTGCCCCAGTGACCAGCTGTAAATCACCATGGCGCGTGCACACACACACACACACACACACACACACACAGAGAGAGAGAGAGAGAGAGAGAGAGAGAGAGAGAGAGAGAGAGAGAGAGAGAGAGAGAGAGAGAGAGAGAGAGAGAGAGAGAGAGTTCTCTACATTCTCTAACTCTCACCACATACAACAGTGTTTTTTATTATAAACCAGGGCTTATAAACTGACAAGAAACTGCTTCCACATCTCCGGTTTGGGAGATGAAAACATGAATTCATGAGAGAGAAGTGAAACTTATTTTCTCTAAAATGTTCCTGTCAAATAGTGTGTTTTAGCCCCAAAGGTAAAATCTTTAAATCTTTCTTTTAAATGTAGAATGAGGAGAACAAGATGACATGGGTGCCACTTCTGGGGATATTATTCCATTCATGTGCAAATATTCAAACACCAGATTTTAGGCTTTAAGCCTCCAGATATCGTTATTTCTGGCTTTTCTCCATATCTGTCACTCCGTTGGTTTGTGTGTGTCTCTTCTCATCTCTAAATCCTTCTGTTTTGGTGTGTGAGAGCATATCTCATTAATATCAATGTTTCCTAGAAGGCAGCTCCCTGGACCTATATCTGCTCTTGCTGATGTGAATTTAACTCTCTGCATGGGTCAGAGCTGTGAAAACACATTGTTGGTGTGTGTTTAGAGGCTGAAACATGATGTGGTGTGTCCATTAATGCCTTGCTAAAGATAAAGTTGGTGTCCAACATTGTTTCACTTTTTCCTCTCTGCTTCCTCTCAGTGTGCCAGATCATGTCTAAAGGGGTGGTGGCAGTTCTTGGTCCGTCTGCCAGTCCAGCTTCAAACTCCATCATCAGCAATATATGTGGAGAGAAGGAGGTGAGTTTCTGCACCAACAGGCTCCACACCAACTTCCTGTAAACATCAGCCTTGATCATTTTACCAAATTCCACAAGTCTGAGAAAACTTCTACACATGGGGCGGTTTAGGTGAAGCTCACGTAATGTTAAACTGTGTCACAGCTTATCATTCATTCTCATTCAATGTAAACTCAAAGGTCCACATTTTACATCATGATCTATATCATTATTGTTGGGTATTTTTATATCCTGAAATGAACCACACAGGAGAAAAGGGTCAGTAGGTTCTATACACTGTGAGAGGCAGCGGAGAGCAACCGGCCAAAAGCCTGCAAAGGCCCATGTCCAATCAACTCTGGCCTCCCCTCTGCACCACAGATTGTTTTATTGAAACACAGGGAAAAAAGGACAAACAACAATCCATCACTGTCTACACTTAGCCAATTACAGTGTTGCTTTTTGGCTAAGGCGGGACATTCCAAAAAGGAAGTCTTAATTTATGACTGACAGCCAGAAACTCAGTAACCATGGATACCTGTTAGGCAGGCTACTCCCCAACCCCATGTGTAGTGGCTGACTCGAGCTGAGCGAGAGTTGGAGATGTGGCGTGGCTTCTTAACCCAAGCGCGGAGTGAACTGACGCCGGGTGGAGTGAGCACGCTGTTTAATCTAGGAGCCGGGTGCGCAGCGGTGCGAAGAAACAGCTGAGCACGGCGGCTCCCACAGCACAGGGCTGACTTCTAAGAGCTGTCAGGTCTCTTAGATCTGGCTGATCTGGTTAGCATAGGCTGAGTGATCTGAGACGATCTGGTCTGGACTCTGAGTTCGGTTCGGTGAGAACGATGACTGAGTGATTCGGCATTGTGTGGCACTTCCTTAAGTAGACTTGGCGGGTGACGTGAACCGGAAGACTGGCGCTGGGGATGTTGGGTAATGGAGTTTGGATGGTCTGAGCGGCTCTGCGGTTCCTCCCTTGAGGAGGTCGATGGTTGTGAGGGAGACTGTGTGACACCATGCAGGCAAACATCAGGGCTTATCAGCCGCATTCCATTGCCAAGAGGTAAGGAGAAAGCCCTGTGGCTAACTTCACAATCATAAGATTAACATATGATTACTTAAAAAGGAGCATTTAAGACAGTAATACATTAAAATATTTAACAATTACAGATTCAAGTTTATTGTTTGCGTTTTATGTTAAGAATGGGTGATTTAAAATTTCAAACAAAATTTACATTTCATACAATTACTAAAATATCTGATTTAGCGATAAAATATGTTGTTTTGAAAAAAATACATCTTCATGAATAGTTTCTATGTCTCAAGTTGCATTTGCATTCAGCTTGTGGACTTTCTGTAAGTCCTCGACATCAGTTTTCTTTTCTTGTATGTTGTATCTGTATTGTACACCTATCACATCCTGCCTGCATAATCATTTCTAAAAGCTGGTTTCTTTCACATTTTTCACGTGTCTTTTGTCTGCTGGTAGAGTAAGTCTGGAACTGGGACTGATAGTCTTCCCTCCACGACTAAGGGTTTATATGTATGTGGCCACTTTCAAAGCTCTGAGAGGCGTTATGTCCTGTTCCTTTTCAGCAAAGCACAGCCTGACAAAACTACTGAATGCATGTGTTACAAAAGCTCTTGCTGTGATTTTAGTTCTATTTATAGCCACAGTCTGCAGTCAGATATACAAAATCATGTGTGGTTTATTCCTCCATTTCTTTTCTTTCCCCCCTGCTTCACTTTGCCACTTTCTGGATATAAAACAAGAACTGGTATGCACCCCGGTCAGCTGGAGTACTCTCCTGAGAGCTTCATGGAGGTCCTGCCAGCAGGAACAATTTTACATGACACTTTTAGTTTTAATGGATTATGTTAAAGCAGAGGTAATTAGATGAGTGTGTGTGACACAAGTGTGTGTCGGCTATGTTTTCATGCTTTCGATTCCACAGAATACACACATAACACACACTGATCCTGTTGTTTTAATTGTTTTTTTAATATGAGAGCTATACGAGATGTACCTCTGCAGCTGTTCACTCTCAGAAAGAAGAGAAATACTGGAGATGCTCACCACATGTTCATCTGTTAAAACAGCTTCATTTACTTCCAATATTTAAATTTAGTAAGAATTTTTGAGTCATTTTGACTGTGAGTCTGATCCAGAACATTTCTCATTACTGTTTTAGTCTCCAGTGTGTTTCCTGCTGCAGCAGAGCCTTTTATTCTAGTGAGACATCAGTCTTCTATAACTGCAGACAGACCAGGACTTCCTGCTGTTAGAAACCTCCGGTGGTTCTGACTGGAGGGACAAACTGCTGTGAAATGCGGCCTGCTGTAATAACTCTGTATGAATATGAAAGTCCCATCGCAGGAGAATTATCTGTTCTGAGCTGCTGAATGAAAAGTGAAAATAGAAGAAGTTAAAGGTTTTCAGTTTCCCCACTCTCCTTCACATTTCCTCCTTACGTATCTCTCCTCATTGTGAACGGAGAGGGTAATCATCAGGATTAACATAACACTTTGACGCTTAGCCAATCACATGCTTTTGTCAGAGAACGTGACAGGATTATGAGATTTGCTCTTGTCGTGGTGAATTCATGGTTGTATTTTTCTTGTCCAACACTTCATTAAACTGTGATTTTCAGCGGGCCTCGCCCAGCGCTGATACCAGAGCTGTGTTCAGGCTGACATCGATACTTCAGTCTTTCTACTGTGACAAGGAAAATGTGTGTTATCACACACACGGTGACAGTTTCATAAAAAACAAAATGCTGGGTTTGTGTTTGTGTCAGTCAGATGTTCACCTTCATCTGGTCTGTAAATGTAAAATTATCCTCAAATCATTCTTGGTTACACTAAACAGATGAATGATAGTTTAGTTTGATGCTTCACTAAAACACGTACTTAGACTATTTTTATTTTATTTTCTCAATCCTTGTTTTTTAAAACAAAACATATTTTATTCTCGCAGCTGTTATTTTATACTTAAGTCAAAAAGTGTTATGGAATTAATAAAGTTGTTTACCCTTTATGGAAAATACACCAAATTGAAAAAAGTGGAATTCTGTCTTAACTCTTATCTTTCTGAGCTCAGATGTAAGATGATTTATATTCTAACCAAACAGTAAAGCAATTTTCACTGTTTGATTTTTCATGTGTGTGTATGTGTGTGTGTGTGTGCTGGTGCGTGTGTGCGTGCATGGATGGATGTGAGTTTTAAGTTCAACTAATATTTATCACACAAAAAGTACCTGATATTTATTTATTTCCTACAAGTAACAACTGAATCCTGCTGACTTATGTATCCAAAAGGGTGTAGGCAGAAGCAAAGCTTAGTTTTTGCCTACCCTTTTTAATTTAGATTATCACTATGACCAGTAATTGAAAGGTTGAAGGTTTAATCCCGGTTCTGACCAGAGAATATTTCTGTTGTGTCCTTGGGCAAGGCACTTAACCCATCTTGCCTGCTGGTGGTGGTCAGAGGGACCCGGGGCCCCAGTGTTCGGCAACCCTTGCCTTTGTCAGAGCACCCAGGAGCAGATGTGGCTACACCGTACCTCATCCCCATCAGCATGTGAATGTGTGAATGACTGATTGTGTTGTGAAGCGCCTTGGGGGGTTTAACAATGGACCTACATTTTTTTCCAACCCAAATATATTAAATCAACCAAAAAACAAAAAGACTAGTGCAACTCAATCCAATAACTTTGGACCTGAAATTCAGAAATGGAAATTGCTTAGTCAACCACTTGACCTGAACGGCATTAAATTAGTCTTCGAGAACAAAGTAAGGAACCTTGGTGTTATCTTTGACCAGGACATGTCATTCAAATTCCACTGTTAAACAGGTTTGTAGGATTTTCTTTTTCCACCTTTGGAATATTGCTAAGATTAGAAGCATCCTTTCCAGGAGTGATGCTGAAAAACTAGTTCATGCATTTATTACATCAAGACTGGATTACTGTAATTCATTACTCTCAGGAAGTCCACAGAATGTAGTTAAAAGTCTTCAGCTTCTGGGCTTCCGGGCATGGCGTGTTGGTGAGCGGACGTGTCTAGGGGAGCTCCGACTACTTTTTTCTATAATGAGCTGCTAAAGGACTTGAATATCGCTTTTCTTTCCCCTATCTGACCTAAAACTGACCTTTCACAGTTCTCTTGCCTTGAGCATGAGTATACTTAATGAGCAAGAAGAAACAACACGGAACTCGAGCTAGCGTGTCAGCTAAGTTAGCTAACATGGCTAAATGTAAGGCCAGCAACGACGACAGCCCTGTCACCAGAGGGGACCTCGAAGCACTGCTCAGTGAACAATGAGAAAGCTTCAAGACCGATGTAGCTGCCCTGATCAACGAGTCAACAGTATCTCTCAAATCGTCCGTGGAATCGCTGGGACAACAGGTAGCATCTTTCAATAGCCACCTCACTCAGACAGAAACATTGGCTGGGGAGAACTTTGGGAAACTTACCGAACTGGAGGCTGTCATTAAAACTCTTCAACCCCAGTATGAAAAGTTACTAGAAAAAGTGGATGATCTTGAAAATAGATCAAGGCGGTCGAATTTGAGAATAATCAACATACCGGAAGGTAGTGAAAAGGGCCAAGATCCAGCTAAGTTTGTGGCGAATCTGCTGATGACGGCTACAGGCTCAGAAGTCTTCAGCAGCCCTCCTGAGATAGAGAGAGCCCACCGCTCCCTTCGCAGAGCAGGTCACAGCGCTATGGAGAAACCCAGGGCCTTCATCGTGAAATTTCTTCACTTCCAGGAGAAAGAGAAAGTCCTGAAGTGGGCCAGGAGCCATCAGATGACGTATCACGGCACGGATCTGAGAGTCTACCCGGACATTAGTGCTGAACTGGCCAGAAAGAGAGCGTCATTTAACGGAGTCAAGCACACCTTGTATAAAAAAGGGATAAAGTTTCGCCTTTTGCATCCAGCTCGTCTCCTCATCTCTTTCCAAGACAAGGACTACTATTTCGACTCTCCGCGTAAAGCCCAGGATTTCTATGATCAG